GGTTCGGAAAGGTCCTTCCCGATCCTGACGGTGCTTTTGGTATTGCTCAGCGTCAGTTTACACAGTCGTAGTAGTTTGTGGGGATACCAAATTCAGACAAACCRGCGTAAAAGCAGCTCCTTTTTGGGTCGGCTTTCAAAAGCAGCTTTAAAATCGATAAAGAGGTGGTGTGTATCGATCCTCTTTTCACGGTTCCTTTCCAATATTTGGCGCATGGTGAATATCTGGTTAATTGTTGACTTTCCAGGACTGACGCCACACTGATAAGGTCCAATCAGATTGTTGACGGTGGGCTTTAATCTTTCACACAATACGCAGGATAAAACCTTATATGCGATGTTGAAGAGGCTTATCCCACAGTTGTTGAGACAGATTGTGGGGTCGCCCTTTTTGTGGATTGGGCAGAGTATACTTAAATTTCCATCGTTTCGGGAATCGTGATCACCATCTCCTGGTGTTATACTTTCWCTGCCATTCAGCAGGCTGGAGAAGTGTTCCCTCCATAATTKCAGTAAGTTCTGGGCATCAGTTACAAGAAACTCTGGAAGTTCTACTGTTATGTCGAGCCACTACCAACTCCTTATTTGCCTACAGGCGGGTGCAGGTTTTTATAGCAGGGTTTAGAAAAATATTTTTTAAACCTGAAATACATACATTCATGGGTTTGGCAGAGACCATTTTTCATAACCTTTTAACTTCGTTGAGTTTTGTCGCTCTTCGCTCGTATTAAAAGGTCAACGTTTTTCGACGCCTGAGGAGGAGGTTAATCCGTTCAAAACGTATGTTTTGGAGACATCTCCAAGCTGCGACAATTGCTTCAAACGCATGCAAAAGTGTGTAGATCTTAAAGGAGAATATTTTGAAAAAAACAATGGAGCGATTTTCAAAGATTAATATTTGTCTTTTTTTTCCTCCGATCCCGAACATTCAAGGGTGCAGATCTGACAAGTGTTGCTTCATTGATTTGTAGTACATACATATGTCCAAGTTTGTGTTATACAATAAGGTTCTTAGTTAAATTTCAGTTCGAGGATATTGTATGTACATAAATGCTTTTGTCAATTAGACTGAAGAAAACACGGGAGAATATTTTCTAGTAATCTGAGAATATTTTTTGAGGATTGTGAAGACTTTGAGATCCCCTTATCCAATTAATCACACGTTTAAATRGGAAACCCATTACTAAAAATTCCCCTTCAAAGTATAAACAATTACTTATATGCTTTACATACATACAAATACATACCCTATGCGTCAGTAGCTAAATCCACTTTCGTTACTTCTCTAGTCAACAATAAAAATGAGAAAAATTTTATATATTTTACATAATTGCCATTTATTATCAGTTTGTTTATTAATTATTTGTTTGACTTAGGCGGTTTTATAAATAAATATTTCTATATACATACATACATTGACTAAGGCGTAATATTGTCGGCATGATAAATTAGCAAGTGACGGCAATTAAGAGTGAATACACAGTGTTTGGATCGCAAGACAAGAGATGCATTACATTTATACTCACATACATATGTAGATATATGTATGTACATATACATATGAGTAAATTCAACGAAAACGAATGACTAACTAACGGACTGACGGACTGACACAACGGCAGACAACAGAATTGTATGATCGTCAGATGATTTCGAATAGATGATACTTTCAATCACTTTTAAAGGGTGATTAATTTCTAGGCTCCCTACTTTTTTAACGAAAAAACACAGAAACTCTGAATTTGTTATCGTTCGAAAGAACATTCTGTGACATTTACTTTTTGAAAATTACCTCTTTCAAATGTTGGCCGCGGTTACGTTCGACCATTTCGACTGGTAACTGACARAYGGAACTCGTGCTGTTTTRCTCCAAAGCCTGARTCGAAGCGGGATTRTCCGCATAGACTTTGAATTTACATATCCCCACAGAAAGAATTCTAACGGAGTGATATCCCACAATCTTGGTGGCTAATCGACCGGCCATAAACGTGAAATTATCTGCTCACCGAAGTGTTCTCTCAATAAATCCATTGATTAATGCTATGTGTTGGAAGTGTCGCCGTCTTGTTCTAAATGTYGCTGAGATCACGAGCTTCAAYTTCAGGCATCAAATAGTCAGTTATCGATATTATTTTTGAAGAGATACCAATGATTCCAACGGCACTTAAACAACACCAAG